GTGGAAGTTCACATCTCGTCGGGGAGCGTGTTCTGGACACACACAGTGAACACAGAGCAACGCTCCCCCGTCTCCTTAATTGTAAGCCCCGCTGACATCCATGTTTCCGCTGTTATGACATGTGCCGCACTCACCGATAAGCGTGATCATGTGTGTAGTCTTTTCCTCTGGGTCCACATTAACGTTGTACACGGACATGAGCTTTTCTGTGAGCGGCAGAACTTGGAAGGTGCTTAAGCCCGTTTCTTCGGCTGAAACAAAATGAAACCTGGGATTAGGTGTTTATTATTTATTTTCATATCTGTTTACACGAATTATTTGTATCACACTTAATAATGGCTTTTACTTCAGAGATTGCCTGAGAAATGTCATTTTCCAAGTGTTTGGAGTTTGTCCGCTATAGGAATTTTTCCTTCAAGAATCCAATACACCAAGTATTTCAGTTGCTTCAAATTAACTAAATATATCGCAGTTCCATGTATGGTCACAGGAAGAACAACCACCACAAAAACAATAACGAACTCTTGGAAACGGGAAGAATTAGATATGGTGATTGAAAGCTGTGTGCCCAAATTCAAAATAGTGCTGTTTCTATTATTACACATTCAAAAATAGTCATTAATAAACCCTTAAGTTATGCAAACATGATAAATTATTGTATTTTGATTGCCTTCCGTTTAATCAGATCAGAAAAGGGATAAAGACTCATGAAACCAATCATAAATACCAAACTCTGTAAGTCTCAATAGAATAGAATATTTAATAAATCAGTTATTAAATAATAATACAGTTGCTGCTTGTGAGTTCTATTTGGTGACTTTAAAAAAAGTAACGGTCTGAATTCTTGCTCTCCATCCTTTTAATGAACTTCAAATGGAGAGTAATCCAATTTTTCATTTTAACTATTGCCGTACTTTTCTTGGAATGAAGGAAATCAGACCCTATTTTTTATATAATGTATATAGAAAGCAGATTTTAAACATCCTTTAGATTATTCAACAAAGGAGGGACTACAAGAAAATAAAAGATATTGTCAGTTTTTATACATTAAATATACTCCATAATCGTCAATGTCTGAAGCCCACACGAAGTCCGTTTTCTAAGGTGTCACTGATAATAGAGACACTTTGTACTATCCTGAGAGATTTTCACATTGCGTCAGTCATCGGAAACTAGGGCATCATTAATGTTGCAGAATCCAGGCCTCAGGGGCTGGGGCTGCAGCACGGTTGTGAACACCTAACCAGACACGGGTCCACACGCCAGCAGCATGTATTGAAACTCAATCTTGGTTTGGCCGACAGTCATCACGGGAGTCCCGCACTCACCATAAATGCTGTAACTGCCTTCCGGTGTCCTCTGGCCCACGATGGTGATCAGTGTGCAGTTCTCCCCGAACCTAAACGACACAAAACAATGCGGCCCTTATTGCTCATTGGTGTTTGCACATCACTGTGCTTGGCTTCAAGAACTCCAGACGTGACAGCGTGTTTTAGGTGCTAAACGGAAGTCTTCCCACATGTGAACTTTCTATCACTATCACTAGGTCATTGGTCTTCATGACTTTGGTGTTTGCATTAACGGCTGTGGGAATCTTTAATGTTGGCATGGACGAGTCTGAGGGTAGGAAGACCTCCCGGTGACCGTTTACCACGGTCTGTGTCATTGAATCACTGACTGGACAGCTCCCGTCTGCCCGTAGCTGGGGCTGGAGACAGAGACGCATCATGGTGATGCAGGTTACAAACATTCAGAGGCCTCTTCGCCTTCATGCCATGACATTCGTGGAGTGCCCACAACAGCACACCAAGATTCCCTCACACAAACTCTAATACATATGTTACTACAACACATCTATATATGTATTGACGTGTTCTAGTCCGTCATTCACTATCTACAACTGTTCAGCCCCAGTACAGACAACATTCATGGAGTGCTAAAAGCATCCACCGACCACTGTGATACTGTGATCATAACGTGACCTGGGGATGGTTCCGTGCAGACCCAAACACCAACGTGGACCATGAACTGAATGAATTATAACCTGCGGGTAACGGGCACAGACATTTTGAAGACTCTGACACGGGTCCGGAGATCATGATCCCTGTTGGCCCTGACCACAGCCTACAAAGACATGAGAGTTTCCTCCCGTGTTTACACATTTACTGTCACAGACCTGTCACCACAAGAGAGCCACATGGCACTGCAGTCTGCACAGAAACAGAATATGACTTTACAGCAGGCGATCGTGCTGATGCTGTGCACACACTAAGAACACAGGCTGTGAGCACACACTCCGCATCCTCACGGAGACTCACCACTCCCCGAGCACCTGAGTGTGAGCCCCGTGTCTCCCTTCACCGCTCTGTCCCCAGGCTTGGGGGTAAAGGTCACTTACTTGATGTAAAAAGAGAGAGTGACGTTCTCACAACTTGGGGTGCATTCCATGTGGCGGTAGTAAGCTCTCAGGGGCCCCCCTTCGCTCGTCTTCTCCACGTTGTCCGCGCCCGTGTAGAGCGTGCGCCAGTCCCCGTCGACCTGGATGGGAAGGAGCCGTGGGAAGGTCAGTGCAGATAGTGGGTATTTCTTCACCAACACACGGTATAACTCTCAATTATCTCGACTGAAGAATTGACCTCTGCCCATGTGATGCAGGCTGCTTCTTTCACAGAAAAATCCCACAGCCATATAATAACTCCCATTTACAAGAAAAACTCTGATACCAGGTTTTGAAATAAATCTCTCTATGTCATACAAACCACGTACTCTCTAAAGTGTAACTTTTTATCTTAGATTTGTGTGTAGGTAGAGTGAAGTCATAGGCATGTGTGATGCACACAAGGAGAGAACAAGAAAGGGGTCATGAATGGGACAGACGTGAATCTTATATTTCTTGCCTTATTGAGTTAGGCCTGCATGCAGAGGACGCTGGCCCTGAAATACATAGCGTGGACATGTATGACTGTGAATTTCCGGTCCCCCTCCCTGCCCCCGTCAGTGCTGGGATTCCTGGGCGGCACCTGCACTCCCTGTCTGTGCTGTGCTGGGAATGAGATCAGGATTTCATTTCTGCAACGCGAATCCTTCACCACATGAGCTGACTTGTCAGCCCAGAGCATTTCTTTGACATATCCATACACACTAACGTGACACACACACACACACACACACGCACACAAAGTGCCCCCAGATGAAGTCATGCTCATACCTGTTCAGGGGTGAGCTCAGGAAGCTCACCATAAACCAGACCCAGCACCAGGGCGAGCAGGAGAACTTTCATCCTGATGGAGCCTGTGTCTCTCTCTCTCGTGGAGATCTCTGCGCAGGTCCGTGGGTGGAGAACGGCTCAAGCGTCCTGGCTTTTATAGGACTCAGGTCTGACTTGTAATCGAGCAAGAATTCATCAAGAATTCCTGTTAACGTTTCCCCCACACCTCGTGGTTGTCCGTGATGATTTCTGTGTGACTTTGTCCCAGTTTGTTCAGGGGATTAGAGTTAAGATCAAACAAATGCCCAGGGGCGAACTTTAAGAAGACTCCGGACGTGACAGACGGACGAAAGATACACATATTTGTGTCTCCAAAGTCCAGGTGTCCTAGGAACCGAGAAGTTCAAGACGTGTTTCTCTAACTCTGATTTTGTCTTTACACTTGCAAGAATATCTTTAACCTGATTTTTCTGAAAATAAATAGGACAGATAGCTTTAGTTTCCCTAAATTTTATCATTTGAAGTTTATATCCTGAATCCTTACATCCTTCAAACGTTATAATCTGAATCACTTTCTTAGACATTTATATCTGGAGAGATGAAATCATTAGTCCATTATATCCTGAATCATTATATCCTTAAAGCTTTTTATCCTGAATTGGGGATGTCAGAGCACTTCACAAGTGGATTCTTTGCAACATTTTATGAACACAACCTGAGACTACGAGTCCATGAATTAATTAACAAAATGGGCACAAATATTATCAGGCCTACAAACCATCTTCTGATTTGATTTAGTCCCCTTTACAGGAGGATGTTCAGGATGGGCGCTGTATATCTTAGCGATAATCCGTGGTTAGTGAGTGCGTAGCTCCCAGTGGTCACATCACCACTATTTAAATAAATGGACATAGCATCACAGTGATTTCTAAAACTTCCTCTCTGTGTACATAGATGAGCCCGGCCCTCAGTCCTCACACAGCTGCTCCCCTGAGCACAGCACTCAGTTAACACAGGGACTCAAAACCGGCCAAACACAGAGAATAAGTATTTGTAGAGTCCTCAGGAGTAAATGGAACATGTATGTCACATGTCCTTCAATCAGGGCTCAGGGAGCTTCATGCAACCGGGGACAGAAGGATCACGAGAGCCAGAAGTCAGACCACACGGACTCCCGTCACAAAGTCTTTGTGACCCGACAGGGCCGTGGCACTAACGAACTACAGTCAGCTGCGGTGGTCTGCAAGAGACCTGAACTAGATTCATCCGGTCCACGCTTGTGCACGCGTGACGGAGCCGCACAGGAGACCCTTCTTCTAGCTGAGGAACATGTGATGGCTGAGAGACACGGGAGCAGGTGTCAGAGTTCTCTGCGTGTTTGTGGTGGGGAGAGACACGGGAGCAGGTGTCAGAGTTCTCTGCGTGCCTTCATACACAGGCAGAACTGACTGGACTCAGTTTGTTATAAAAATTACATCAGAACTTGAAATTCAAAGAGATAAGGAGTCAAATCTTAGCAGGATTGTTGTGAGCTCTGGATATATATATATA